AAGCACTTTCTTGTTGATTTCAGTTTGAGTCAGATGTTTATATTCTGTGCCATACCTAAAGCATTACCTTACAATAAAGGCTGATCTGTGTATTTCAATGTTTGAATTTAATTTTCTAAGCTTGATAATTAGAGATGATGTCTTTTATATCCAATATGTGAAACTTATCATACAGGTGTAGATCAGAATAGGAGATGAGGGCCAGACAAAGTGGGCTATGTTGTATACGGTAATGGTCCTGAAGGAGTTAATGTTCATACTACACTGAGCATCAATTCATTTGCTGATTCACACACAGTCATTGGGTGGAGACAGTGAGCTCTACCATACCCTTTATGGGGGAAAGATATGTTCTGTACAGCTCCCAAAAATCCTAGTAATTATATCTGACTAAAAATGTAGAAAAGTTGATGTTTTGGGTCGGAAAGTCAACTTTCCTGCTCCACTGATGCTGCCTGACCTGCTGTGCTCCTCCAGCTCCACACTGTATTGTCTCTGCCTCCAGTATCTGCAGTTCTCGCTATCTGTGACTAAAAATGTAGTTTTGCTTATTGCTATCATGCAATAAACTAAGAACAGTGCCTCTTATGTAAAGACTGTATAGTGGTATATCCTCTATCACTGGTCACTAGATCATTGGACAGACCCTAGGTACAGTGTAGACAAAAGAGGACTGGTGGCAGCAAATTATTGCAAACAACTCTTATTCAAACTATGAACGGGCAGAGATGTGCCATTAGTGCCAATCGGGATAATACCACAAACTAGTTTTGATATTTTTTGATAAATTGTCAGTTAGTTCCACATTGGTTTCATGAACCTTGACTGACCTGTGTGTTTAGCTGATTGGTGTGGCCATTTTAACTCAATGTTTTTTAAAAAAAAATCAGTCAATGAAAATCCCAGGTATTAAAATCAGATCAAAACAATCAATGGTATTTTATCACTATCGTAACAACAGGAAGAGGCTGGCTTCCAAGCCATTCAAATTGCACTGTTACTGATCTGGATCTCAACTCTATTTACCCCTCTTTCTCCATATGCCTGAATACCCTTACCCAATATAAATCTCAACTCAAGGGCATACAAGCCCATTCGATGCAACCTGTCCTCTTCATTTAACCGTTTAAGCCCTGTTACAATTCTGATTCCAAAATTCTATCCTGGAGCTCTCTTACTAGCAGCACTGAGGATGTGATTACATTTGTTAGTATGCAGTGGCTCAAGAAGGCAACTCATCACAACCTTCTCAAGGGCGTTTAGGGATAGGCAATGAATGCAGCCTTCCCAACAGTGCTCACATTCCATGAATGAAAATTCTTAAAAATCCGAAGCCAATGTGCCCTTTCTGAGGATCGAAATGCCTGAATCATTGTGGCATTTGATTGAGGTATCTTTGAAGAAACGCATGGTAAAGGCCATGGTAAACGCATGGATGAAGTGAGATGCTGTATGATTCAGAACAAGATTTTACATAAAACTGGGGAGAACCTTTCTGATTTAGTCAAATGATTCAGCTTGATGCTAAATAAATGCCCACCCTACCCCAATGTTATGTTTTATCATACAGTCCCTACAGTGCCAATAGAGGCCATTTGACCCAATGTGTCTGCACCAACCAGCTGAAGAACATCCCACCCTTTCCCCATAACCCTGCAATTACTGAGGCTAATCCACCTAGCCTGGACATCCCTAGACACTATGGGCAATCTAGGATGGCTAATCCACCTAACCTGCATTTCTTTGGACTGTGGGGGGAAACTGGAGTACTCGGAGGAAACCCACGCAGACACTGGGAGAATGTGTAAACTACACCCAGGCAGTCACCTGAGGCTGGAATTAAATCTGGGTCCCTGGCACTGAGAGGCAGCAGTGCTAATGGTACGCTGCAGTGCTGCCTTGTTTTTGTGTAATAGGGTTGAGTTTCTGGCTTATCCAATTGACTTTGATGGAAAATGAGGGAAATATCAGAGAAATGGCATGAATTAGATATCTCTCTTGCCTGGAACAGAACAGCAGTGCTAAATGGTCATTCTCAGTCTTTTGGGTGTGGTAGCAAAATGCTGGCCAAAGTAGAGAAGCCCACATTTCCCCAGATATTGGCCCACTCTGTTGAACAGTTATCAGGAGTGAAAGTTGCAGTATCATTTCATTCCTTTATCGCTCAAAGGCAGGCTCCAAGTGAGCAGAAATCATAATGCTGACTGATTGCCCTGAAAATGTAATTGCCTGGCCACCAGTAATTTGAGTTGGAGTCGCACTGGTTGCTGGAAGCTCTTGCTGCCTCTGGGGTTTAAAGAGCAATTTATGCTTGAGTGCAGGCAGTAGTGGAAAAGTCACATTTATTGTCCATTGTTCCATCCCTGAGGAAGTATTGGTGGCCCCAGCCCTGGAATGGCTGCAGTCTTTATGCTGCCTGTACCATGGTGGTAACTATCAAGTCAGGTCCAAGTTATCATCTTTCAATTCCTGTTAGATATGGGGTGGTGCCAGAGGGCTGGTGAGTTGTAAATATCACACCCATGATCAAGGGAAGGGGAGAGGGATGCACCAGGTAACTACAGGACAGTCAGCTCAACCATAGCAATGGTAATTTTTCTTTTTTACTCATTAACGGGATGAGGGTGTCGCTGTCTGGGGCAGCATTTATTGCCCATCCCTAATTGCCCAGAGGGCCGTTCAGAGTCAGCCACATTGCTCTGGGGCTGGAGTCACATGTAGGCCAGACCAGGTAAGGGTGGCACTTTCCTTCCCTAAATGACATTAGTGAACCAGGTAGGTTTTTTCCAACAATTGTTAGATTCTCAATTCCAGATATTTTATTGAATTCAAATTCCACACCATCTGCCATGGCAGGATTCAAATCTGGGTCCCCAGAACGTTACCTGGCTCTCTGGATTAACAGTCCAGTGATAATACCATGAGGCCATCATCTCCCCCGCAGTTTTAGAGATAATGATTCAGAATCAAAATAATTTTCACTTGAAAAACAGGAGTTAATTCATGACAGCCAGCACAGATTAGTTAAAACGCAATGACCTAATGGTATTATCGCTGGATTGTTAACCCAGAGACACAGATGATGCTGTAGGGATTGCAGTCGACTGATGGTGGAACTTAAATTCAATACAAATCTGGAATTAAGAGTCCTAATGAAGACTATGAAACCATTGTTGTATGTCAAAAAAACCCATCTGGTTCACTAATGTTCTTTAGGGAAGGAAATTGCCACCCTTACTTGCTCTGGCCTTCATATGAGTCCAGACCCACAGCAATGGACAATAACTGCTGGCCTAGTCAGTGATGCCCTCATCACGTGAATAAATTTTAAAATGTGAATCGTGTTTGATTAACTTTATTTGAGTTTGTTAATGAAAGAAGGTGTGGTTGCTATGTACATGGATTCGCAAAACATTTTTGATGAAGAGCTGTTTGGATGGCACGATGAGAGGTGGACAAGTAAGTTGTGAAAAGGACTTAGAAAGTCTGGAAAGGAGCATAGATAGGCTAAGTGAGTGGGCAAAAAAATGGCAGATGGACCATAATGCAAGTAAATGTGAGCTTGTCCGTTTTATCAGGAAGCATATAAAAAGCAGCTTTTTTTTAAAGTGGAAAGATGTGGTAGGACACTGATATATACTGGGATTTGGGTATCCTAGTAAATAAATCACTGAAAGCTGATTACAGGTGCAGTAAATGATTAAGAAAGCAAGTGGAATGATTTCTCTGAATTGCTTGAAATGTATATATATCCTTCCATAAGGAGATAAACACTTAACAATACTTCAGGTTTAGTCACACCAATTTCCTGTATTACTGTAACAAAACATCACTATTTTTATATCCCCCTGCAATGAACAAAATCATTCCATTTGCCTTCCTGTACCTGTATGCTAACATTTAGTGATTCATAGTCCAGAATATCTTGGTGTTCTGCAGTCTCTGTCCACGGTCCATCGCACAATCCCTGAGTAAGTATTGGTGGTCTTGCCCCTGGAATTGCTGCAATCTTTGGGGAGGCAATGGCCTAGTGGTGTTATTGTGGAACTGTTAATCCAGTGACCCAAATAATATTCTGGGGACCTGGGTTCAAATCCCACCATGGCAGATGGTGGAATTTGAATTTGATAAATATCTGGAATTAAGAATCTAATGATGACCACAAATCCATTGTTGATTGTTAGGAAAAACCCATTTGATTCACTAATGTCCTTCAGGGAAGGAAACTGCTATCCTTACCTGGTCTGGCGTACGTGTGACTCCAGCCCCACAGGAATGTGGTTGACTCTTAAATGCTCTCTAGGCAATTAAAGATGGGCAATAAATGCTGCCTAGCCAGCAACACCCCCTTATCCCATGAATGGATAAAGGAAAAAAAATCTTTGTGTCATATGATACTGTAAACTAGATGCCAAAAAGCAACTTTTTCAAACTGGTCATCAAGAGAGCGTGATCAGTTTATTCCCATTGGAACTCTCAGCCAGTGAAGTTTGATGATATATTCTGAATAGCATTTTGTTGCCTACAAGGTAAACCAAGCTGTCAGTGTGTTTTTGAATTTGTACTGTAATTACAATTGGTTAATTAAATTCTCCCAGGTACACAGCATGTACCAGGTACACCTTTACCTTCATATTTCTAGGTTTGGGGAGGTACTTTGCTCTGCTCACCAAGAAAAGAAAATTCCACTGATTCACATTCAAAAAGAACTGCTGACAAACAAACAAATCAGAGGACAAATGATCATCAATTTCTGGAGTTGCTTTAGCAATCAGAAGGACCCAATAGCATGACCGATTGAGGATGCATGAAATGTGTCTTTTAGTGGATGAAGTAGGAATTTCATATTTTGACTATCACCTTATTTCAGTGCTTCTCCAGATCACAATCAACTTTAGCAGAAGACCATTGGTGGTGCTAACAGGGGTTAGTAAATGTACTATTTACTACAATTACCGGGAGTGCTCCATTTTAATTACTGCTGACAATGTGTTTTCCAGAAATCTGCAAAGCAGTTGCGGAAATCCTCTGATCAGGAAGGCAAAGATGAAGGTGATAAGGACATCAAGGAGGAGGAAAGCAAGAGTGGCTCAGAAGCAGGAGAGGCAGACGGTGATACAAAAAATGTTGCTGAACATCAGAAAATGAATGAAGAGGTGAGGCCCCTTTGCCTTTAGAGGATTCTGAGGATGAATTAAGATTCTTGATCAGCTACTGGTTTGCTGTCTTTCACAGAAGATCATCGATGCCTATGGGAATGGGTAACCACTCGATACATGGATCTGATTGTCTCATTACTCATCCTTCTCGAGTCACAGGGTGGTATATATCTCCTCTCCCAGGAAGTGGTGAGGTGGGAACATAATTGGGGTCATCAGCTCTGTACAGATACCCCTTTCTCACCACCTCAATAATAATGTGCTGGGTAACATTCTCAGCTGTGCACCAATTAAGATTGTTAAGTGGTCAATTAATTGCCTATTAAAGAAACTTGACTCACCGCGTTCCCAATCACCTGCCTACCCAGTTGGCAAGAAGGGTGTCTGGTTTCTGACTGGAAAATCATGGTGACCTGCTTGTCAGTTTATGTGTAGCCTCCATTTGCTGCATTTTGAGGCCAATCAGATTGAGGGGTCTCAGACGGTGATCTTTAAAAGACACCCCTGCCCTTGCTGACAACCCCCTTGACCAGTTTCTCCCTCTCTTCCCACCACAGGATTTCCCAAGGAATAGACCTGAACTGGCAGATCTTAGGATGCAGCTGATGCTGGTCTCTGATTGGGCAGCTTCTGGCAAGCTGGATTGCCAAAGTTAAGGTCCGTGATTCACTGAGCAGCTCCCCCCTACTCCCCCATCGCTGCTGGTGGGTGTTTGGACATGGTTTCTCTTCTGGTGGGAGGGGTGTGTTAGTCACCACCCAATAGGGGCAGCATGGTGGTTCAGTGGTTAGCACTGTTGCTTCACAGCCAGGGACCCAGGTTCAATTCCAGCCTCAGGCGACAAGATGTATGGAGTTTGCACATTCTCCCTGTGTCTGCGTGGGTTTCCTCCAGGTGCTCCAGTTTTCTCCCACAGTCCAAAGATGTGCAGGTTAGGTAGATTGACCATGCTAAATTGCCCTGTAGTGTGCAGGCTAGGTGGGTTAGCCATGGGAAATATGGAATTACGGGGATGAGGTAGGGGATGAGTCTGGGTGGGACGCTCTTCAGAGGGTCAGTGTGGATTCAATGGGCAGAATGGCCTGCTTCCACAATGTCAGGATTCTATTCTCTTCTATATAATACATGTGTCGTCACAATTAACTAAAATATTGGAGCCCTGGACTTTTATAATACAGAGGAAGTCTATTCAGACCTTGTGCCATAGCTGACAAGGGAAGTCAGGGACAACATATAAAAGGGAAAAAAAGGCAAATAATGAGGTGAAGATTGGTGGGAAATAGAGGATTGGGAAGCCTTTGAAAACCAGCTGTGGATAACTCTGTGACGCAGTAAGGGGGAGGAAGATGAAAATGAGAGTAAGCTAACTAATAATATAAAAGCAGGTGGAAAGAGTTTTTTAGGTATCTAAAAGTTGAGAAAGAGCCAAGAGTAGACATTGGACCACTGGAAAATGAAGTTGTAGTAGTAGTCATGGGGAACTAAGAAACAGATGAACTGAATAGGTACTTGGCATCAGTGTTCACAGAGGACAACACAGCAGCATATCTGAACTTCAAGAGAGTCAGGGGGACTGGGGTGAGTGCAGTGGCCATCACTAAGGAGCAGGTGGTGGGAAAGCTAAAAGCTCTGAAGGTGGATAGATCACCAAGACTAGATGGGCTACACTCCAGACTTCTGAAGGAGATAGCTGAGGAGATTGTAGAGACATTGGTGGTGATCTTTCAGGAATCACTAGAGTCAGGGAGGGTCCTAAAGTACTGGAAAAAGGCTGATGTAACAACCTTGTTTAAGACGGGAGGGAGACAAAAAAGGTAACAATAGGCTGGTTAGCCTGACCTCAGTTGTTGGTAAGATTTTAGAGTCCATTATGAAGGATGAGATTGCGGAGTACTTGGAAGTTTATGATAAAGTAGGGCTGAGTCAGCACAGCTTCATCAAGGGGTGGTTATACCTGACAAATCTGTTAGAATTCTTTGAGGAGGTAACAAACAAGTTAAACGAAGGGGAGCCAGTGAACGGGATATATTTGGATTTCCAGAAGGCCTTTGACAAGGTGCTATGCAGGAGGCTGCCAAATAAGCTAAAAGCCCTATGGTGTTAGGGGCAAGGTACTGGCATGGATAGGGAATTCTCTGACTGACGGAAGGCAGAGAATGGGAACAAATGGGTCTTTTTCAGAATGGCACCCAGTGACCAGTGGAGTTCCACAGGCGTGTATGTTGGGACCACAGTTATTCATGTTATAAATTAATAATCTGCACAAAGGAACTGAGAGTATTGTTGCTAAATTTGCAGATAACACAAAGATAGGTGGAGGGACAGGTAGTGCTGAAGAAGTAGGGAGGATGCAAAAGGACTTGCATAGGCTAGGAGAGGGGCAAAGAAGGTGCAGACGGAATACAATGTTGGAAAGTGTCATGCACTTTGGTAGGAAGAATAGAGGCATAGCCTATTTTCTAAATGGGAAAGGTTTCAGAAATCTAAGTACAAAGGGACTTGGGAATTCTAGTTCAAGATTCTCTTAAGGTTAACATGAAAGTTCAGTTGTCACTTAGGAAGGCAAATAAAATGTTAGCAGAGATGTACTGCTAAGGCTGTATAAGGTTATGCTCAGAGAGAATTTGGAACTTTGTGACCAGTTTTGGGCCCCATATCTAAGGAAAGGTGTGCTGGTATTGGAGGGAGTTCAGAGGAGGTTTACAGGAATGATCCTGCGGATGAAGGACTTGTCATATAAGGAGTGATTGAGGACTCTGGATCTGTATTTGATGGACTTCAGTGGGATGGTGGGTGGAATCTGATTGAAACTTAACTGAAAGAATAGACATTTCACTATTTCCATTAGATGTTTCCACAAGCAGGAGAGACTAGGACCTGAGGACATAGCCTCAGAGTGAAGAGATGAACCTTTAAAACTGAGATGAGGAGGAATTTCTTCGCAGCCAGCGGATGGTAACTCTGTCGAACCCATTGCCTCAGAATGCTGTGGAAGTCAAGTCATTGACTGTATTTAAGACAGAGTTCTTGATTGGTAAGGGGGTCAAGGTTTAGGGGGAGAAGGCGGGGGAATGAGGTTGAGAAACATATCAGCCATGATCGAAAAGCAGAGCAGACATGAGGGACCGAATGGCCTGATTCTGCTCCTATATCTTATGGCCTTATGGTGCCTGATCTGGTGCTATGAAAACATATCCAGTTAGTCCAGCGCCCCCTGCTGATTCCCCTTCGCAAATGTTTTTTTCTGTTGAAATCCCTTTGAAGGTAGTTGTTGAATCTATTTCTACCATTCTTCACAGGCAGCACATTCCAGATCATAACATGTGATAATCGCAAATTATAACCTTTATATGTCTGGCCCTGCTGCTGCTTCATAAATAACACTCCTCATGAAGCCACTGGAAACCTAAATCATGAAAATACCAAATCCTGAGCAAAACTACAAACCAAACTTTAAAGCCATTTTAAATAAAAACCAAAAGAACTGCGGATGCTGTAAATCAGGAACAAAAACAAAGTTGCTGGAAAAGCTCAGCAGGTCTGGCAGCATCTGTGAAGGAGAAAACAGAGTTAACGTTTCGGGTCCGGCGACCCTTCCTCAGAACAGTGTGTTTAAAGCTATTTTGCTTCCAATATTATTAAAATGAAAAACTTTCTTGAACTGATTTTAAAGGAGAATTTTCTGATATTCACATTCGAAGCTGTCAGAAACTTGTATTCTGGGCCCTAAGCGTTATCAACAACTTGTGTTGGCTGTCCTTGTGTTTGAATTATACAGTGATTCCCACTGTCTGTTCTCACATATAAAGAATGGCTAATGACACATATAAGTATGCCTGAACTAGCACATGTTCCCATCTCCAAAAGCAAACAATAAGGAAGAATTGTTAACCTGTGACTCACTCTCCATCGATGTCAGGATGTATCCACAAGCCAGAGGGTGAAGTTGATAGAAAATCTTCTTTAAAAAGTTTTTATTTATCCTCCAAATGAGGCAATTCACATAATGATAAAAATATTATGATGGAAAATGTGCATTTTCATTCAAATATAATTCTGTTCCATATGAAGGTGTTGGGACCAGTTTTTTTAAACTGACATCAGGCTCCAGTTCATTTTTCTAAGTTAGTATTGACCCAGTTGAGAATGGTGTCATGTTTATGATGCACTTTGTTCTTGGACAATTCATTTTAATTTTATTTACTGTTTATTGAATATCAAGCCAGTTTTTGACCTTGTTTTTTTTAATGTTTGAGTTAAGTAAGATGATGTCAAAATGGAAAACAGGCAATCAAAAAATTGAAATATTAAATCATTTGAATCCTACCATCTTTGAGTTTAGCACAAATTATATTCCATCATTGGAGAGTATTTTTCTAACAAGGCTTACTTTGAATAAAATAGTTACTTGTAATAAAAAGAACTCTGGAAATGTTCAGCAGTTCAAGCAGCGTCCTGAATGTTCTTTAGGGAAGGAAACTGCCATCCCTACCTGGTCTGGCCTATATGTGATTCTAGACCCACAGCAATATGGTTGACTCTAAACTGCCCTCTGGGCAATTAGGGATGGGCAATAAATGCTGCCTGGTCAGCGACGCCCTCATCCCGTGAATGAATAAAGAAAAAAAATGCATCGTTAAAGACTGAAACTCAGATCAATAGACATGTTTAGGCAGCCACACTGAGTTGCATCTTGCTAGTTGAAGAACCAATGGAATCCTTTATCCCTTATCCTCATTTCCATGAGGAAGGCCCAACTCCATGTGGCCAATCAGATGCTGGAAAGTTTCCACTGCTCGACAGCGCTCCCAAGAGCAGTGGCAGCAGCCAGCACTGCACCTACCATGAAAGGGACCTCAAGTCAAAGGCACATTAGGGTGTTCCTCAGTTCTGAGGAAGGGTCACTGGACCTGAAACGTTAACTCTTACTTCTCTGCATAGATGCTTCCAGACCTGCTGAGCTTTTCCAGCAATTTCTGCCTTTGTACATGAGGGTGGGATGGGAACCGCAAGAGTGTGGCGGTGAGGAGGGGATAGAAACTGAAGGCAGGTGACTTTCAGCTCCACCACCTCACCCACACCATCGCTCCCGTGCTAGGTCTCCTGATCATTTATTGGAGTGGAGGATTATCAGATCAGCCATGATGTCATTGAATGGTGGAGCAGACTTGATGAGCCGAATGGCCTGCTTCCTGCTCCTTTATCTTGTGCTTTTATGATCAGGACGGAATACCTGATAACAAAAGACCCCACAGGGGTTCACTGACAAACCAGACAGGATTTGCTGGGTGATCTTCAGTAAGTGCGGGCAAGCCATATGCCCTCAGTTTCATTGTGGTGAGTTCAGAGATATTGGGTGTTAAATGGCTTGTTAATGAGCCTGACGTTCTACCATCGATGACTCTGAATCTCCACTCAAGCCTTGCCACCATCTGACTTAACTGATGGGTGAGGTTTTGCCACTGAGGGGAGACAGATGGAGGGCCTCCTCCCACAATTAAGTGAACCCGACAGTCAAGTTTCCTGCTGCATTGAATCCAGGCCAATGTTTAAACTGGGGGGCTTTTCACCTGTCATTAACCTGAAACACTAACTCTTGCTTTCCACAGATACTGTCCAGTGTTTCCAGCAGTCATTTTGGGGGCAAGGGGTTTGTTTCAGTTTTGCAGCATCTCCATCACTGCGCTTAACACTTTAACTACTTTTAATTCTTCATTTCAGACTTTGATCATCTGAATTCTGGCCACTAAACACGGAGGGAGCACTTCTTGGCCGTCAAGTATTGGATATTTTACAAATGATCATTCCTTCTGCCACTGTCGACATCAATTTGCAGTTTGTGCAGGCTTTTCTTCATTGTGCTACTGATTATAGTTTTGCGCACATGCCAGTCAGTAAAAACAAACAAAAATGTCTTTTATTTTATATTCCCCTCCTTTGTGGAATGTTGTGAGCAACATTCCACCTCCCATTTCACAGCACTTCATTCTTATAATCGCCTTGCTGTTCTGTCATGGAGAAAGGATATGATATTTATTTTTGATGCTTGCTTTAAATGTGAAAAATAACTTTTATTCTCGTGTTCAGCTCAGTTTTATTCTCCCCTGTGCCATCTGTTCATGGGATTTTTTAAGCATTTATTTAGTATCTTTACACAAAAAAAATGTCTGTTCTACGGCTGTTCAGAAATGACTGTCTAGTAGAATAAAATTTATGGAATGCACAAATGTTGGTGTCAATTTATTTACTGCAGACTGTAAGACGAGACTCCTTGCATAGGTTGTGGCACGAAAGACTGAGTTCCTCCCAATGGCAAATTTAGCTTGCGATTCCTGCAGTGTTGGTCAATGTAAATGAAACAGTCAAGTGACCTTCCAGGCAGAATCAGTCACTGCCATTAAAGCAGACTGTGAGGGCAGTCTCAGAACATGTCTCATGATTCAAGTGTCCTGCCAAAGTCTTCTCCAGCTGATTACTGAACTGCTGCCCTGTCTGAAGTAAGCCAAGCTTCATAATACAGAAAAATTTCCATTATCTGACACCTGTGGGGCCAGGAGTGTGCCAATTGATCAAATATTCCAGATAATCAAGAGGCCCACATAGTGTGTGTTTGTACATTGACATTAGATTAAGTAATAGAACCGTAATGCAGGCGGTTTGCATGTGACTGTTATACATTATTTTTAGCGTAAATCACTTAAATGATAATGCAACTTTGCCTTAAATAAAACTTACCGGTAGAGAGCCTTCTCACTCACCCCCTCAACTGACACCTCAGACATCACAGCAGATTGCCATATTTTAGAAATCGGCTCTAAATTTGGTATTTCGTGTGGCCATTTGATTGAACAACATGTATAATTACATTGAGGTAAATAAATTACCAACTATGATAATTGGACAGAATAATACATTAAACTTTATGGCGTTTGAGGTATATAATTTTTGCTGGTTTATCAAGAGTGCCGGTTCATAAGGTGCTCATTAAAACGGAGTTTGCTGGACTAAAGTATGAGAGGAAAGCCAGTGCTGCATTGTCATTGTGCTGTCTAGGGCAGCTGCCCCCACACATTAACTATAAAAGGGAAATTCCCAGCATAATCTCGAACTATCATAAGAAAATATTCCAAGGCTCAGATTTATGGTTTGTGAGGGCCCAGAATAATTACTGTTGACCAGATTTTCCTCACGTCAGACCCACTGTCACCAGACACCAACAGCATTCATATAGTGCCCTTAACATGGTAAAACATAGCAAGGTACCTCACTGAAATAGAATCAGACGACAGCTAACACTGAGCCTAAGTGGGAGACATAGGGACTTTTAACAGATTGTTTGGTCAAAGAGGAAAGTTGTAAAAAGTCAAAGAAAGATGGAAAAGAGCAGCAATTCAGGTTAGATATCCCAAAGTTTACGATTGAGAAGGCTGAATGAATGGTCACTGGTGGTGAAGCAAAGGGAATACAGGGTGCACAAGTGATGAGACTTAGGAGATGACAGTGCTTTCAGAAGGTGGTTGAGTTGTTGATGATTACAGAGATAGGAAGGAATAAGCTTGCAGAGGGTATTGAACATGAAAATAAGAATTAGCTTAATTCCATTGGCTTCCAGTCCACAAACAGCGGTGTTTAGTGATAGTCAAAGTGTACTTGGTACAAGTTAGCAGACAAACTGCAGGGTTTTGATGGATGGAAGACAGGATGTCAGCGGAGAACACTGGAATAGTCAAATTTGAAGATGACGAAAGCATGAATGCAGGTTTCAGAAGAAGCTAGGCATGGACAAAGGCAATATTACAGTGGTTGAAATAGACAGACCTCCTAAAGGAGTCGAATTAGGATGCAGATGTCAGAAAATACCTAGTTTGCTCTGAGTCTGTGACCAGGTACAGGAATGGAGTCAGGCAACTTAACGTATTGAACACCAGATGTACACTTGTATCTGAACAAGATGACAAATGCAGAGCAGACAGTAGGTAAAGATGGTAATCTTCACATTAATTCATCACTAACATAAGAATAGCAGAAGACAATTGAGCTACGTGAGCCTGTACTAACACCAAAGTAGATCATGGCTCATCTAGATCTCAGCTGTTTTCACCATTATTACTCCACATACTCCACATAATGAACTTATCAATCTACTATCAGATTTCCATTTGCTGCACACTACATTCGAATAGAGTTCTAGATGTCCACATTTCTATGTGTAAAAACATACTTCCTGATTTTGCTCCTAAATGACCTTGCTCTAATTTTTAAGGTTCTGCATCCTTCTATACAAAACTCCTCCACCATGGGAAATAGTCTCCCTTTACCTACTTTATCAAAACTCTTCATCATTTTAGATGCCTCGATTAGATTGACCTCTTAAATTGGTAAATATGACGGAATGCAACAAACAGAATCTTATGAGGGTCTGAATGATGGGGGTCATTTATGGAGAGAAATGAGGTAAAATCGCATGATAAGTCCAGCAAGGGCTATCTCCACGCCAGGAGGAACTCACTGCATTTTTTAACCAGGTTCCAAGTGTTGAGGTGAGATTCTCACTCGGCAGTGCTGTGTTGCCTAGTAAGGGGGGTTATCACTTGTTAATAACCTTATTAACTGCAAGTCTTGGCCCCTTGATATGCCGCATCCTGTTGTACCACACGCTGTCAGTAAACTCGACATTGCAAATTCTTGATGTGGAAGTCACAGCAGTTACCTAGCAACCTCAGCTGTGAAGAGCTTCCACGTTGCTCACTGTGCAACGGCCTTTCAGAGCACCATCTGTGGGCACCAGCCCTCATCCACAGACAACAGCATCAGATAATTACCAACCCCTCAAGATCCTCATGGCACCTCTCTGATCCACTTGCAGGATACATAGGAAATACAGATGCACGTTGTAGGGTGTACCAGCAGCTAGCATTGAAAGGCTGCTGCAAGGACACACCGTGCATAGAGGCAGGTACCCAGCTTTCGCACTGGACAAAGCATTTGTGGAATAGCTCTCATAGCATTCGAGCACTCACTGCCCACCTGCATCTTGACAGCGTCCATGCCTTGCTGTGCCCTGCCTGTTAGCCTTTGGTTCAGGCTGAAGTTCCAACGCACCATTAGTTGCATCAACAAACAAATAGGCTGCATGTCATTAGGAATCTGTCCAGGGACGGGATATCTTGCTGTACGGCACACCAAGATGTCAGTTTACAGCCTACAGGGTGTACCAGCTGTTAGTTTAGCAAACACTGGCCATGTTGGAAAGTAGTTATGGAATGCAGTTCAGGCATTTGGTCATGGTCAGTTGTCCACTCGGGATGCTCACAGTCAGCAGATCTACAGTCTGACTACAATCCAGCGAGTGGGCAGTCCTGTAGGGCCAGTTCCAGCGGGCAGGGGAATGGTACGATCGTCAATTGAGGAGGGACAAAGCCAGTTGTCAGGGCTCTAGGGTTACCCGTCGAAGTTAAACAGAGGTCTGTGGACCCTGTGACAACAAGATGCAGAGCTGGATGAACACAGCAGGCCAAGC